TATATTCGTCTATAAAAGATGAGTTTAGTAAATTTGCAAAACTTTGTGCTTTGCAAAACGTTAACTACGCACTTTTGTAAATGGATGGATGTTATGTACAAGTTAGTGTAAGATTTGAAGTCGATTTGTTCACCTGTCATTGCTTTTATGAATGCTGTGTTATTGCTATTAGAGAATTCGAATTGGAATTGAAAAATATCTTACTTTATCATGTTTCAAAATGATCTTCACCAATATGGAAGCGAAAACTATAGGCGACCACGTAAATCAACTGAAGCATTGAATATCGTATTGATTGATACCTTAACAATCGGCATCGGTTAACTTTTTATTTCTTGCCTTAGAAGAATAGCTTGCTTCCAGGCCGAATGATAGAAGAGTTTTTAACATGCTAAGACAATGTTAAAGCGCTCTTTAAAGATGCTCTCAGTTTATATTCAAACATTACTTAATATAGTTACAGATAGCAATCGCTTTGTATGCTCAGTTTGTTTATTTGTAAAATAAAATCTAGCGAAAAATCACTTAGTTTATTCACTCTTTTCAAATCGTTGCAAAAGTTTATCCTTTGAAAAATTTCGCGCAATTTCTTTGAATATTTAAAGAAAGCAAGCAAGAGTAATGGGACAAATCCGAACGGGTTTAAAACGAATTTAAGATACCCTCTTGTGACTAAGCATGTATTAGTAAGTAATGCGTTTATAATAAGTTAACTAAATAATTGTTAAGTTTTTTTTTATTTTTTTTTTATTTTTAATATTTTTAAAGCTAATAAAAATATTATCTCAAGTAAATAGTACAGAATTTACATTAAGCATGCACATAATCCACAGATATCTTATAAATATAATGCTATGAATTATAATGTTGTCAAAGCTTAAAATAAAAAACTCACACAAATAATCTGCATCAGTGGAACACAACACAATCGATGTAAAAGAGAATGAAAGAAAATTTCAAGTCAATGTTGTAAAACAACAAAATAGGAAAATAAGATTTTCCGCCAGCAGACATAGCAGTTATTTGCTTTTTAACAAGAGCATATTATGTTCGCCTTGATGTGTATGTTTTCATTTTAAAAGGAATATTTCAGAGATTTCTCAAAGACCGAAAAAGGAACACAAAAAGAAAAACAATAATTTATTTTTCCAAATTCTTCTTTTTTTTTTTTTGTAAACTGTTGGCTGACAGCAAGATAAAAATGAAAGAAATCTTGTGAAAATAACGATGTAATATCTATATATATATATATATATATATATTATCAGGTAAAACGCATATAATACATTTATATATGTATATAGATTAAGAAAACAAATATAAATATGGTTTTGATTATTTTTTTTAAAATGAAAAATTGAAAAGTTTTTTCTATTTTCTTCACTTGATAAGCATTAAAAGTATTAGGAGAGTGCTGCACTGTCTGTTGTGGGTTGTTAGCAAAAATGAACATTTATTACCTCATGGGCATGTTGTTTACGCATAACGAGTATTTTAATTAAAATATTATCTACCCACTAGCCATTCTTCAACATAAAGAATATAAAGCTAGAACCTAATATTTCGGATATCGTCGTCATAAGAAGGAAACCACTCCTGCTCAAACATATAACAAGTTCCTGATTGGAACCGGTGTTAATGAGCAGGATTAGTATTTAGTAATCGCTGCGGGAAGAGTAGAACATTCCAGTTGATTACTATGAATTTTACCGTATAAGGCCAAAATCTCCCTTTTTCGGCTTAATTGCATCAGTCGTTGTTAGTAACATTGTTTGGAGCAACTCATAACACAATACATCCCTAACCTTCCCGGCTTTCCACATCGCTCTTCACCTTCATAGTATATCTAAAGGGTTTGTCTGTTCTGCCTCAAAGTTATTTGCGCTTCAGATATCATGTAAGGAGGTACAGTTCATGACATCTTATGATTCAGCAGAATTCTTCTTTAAATTACGCAGAAAGAATCATACTCTCTATCGATGCAATAAGTTATATATATATATATATATATATATATATGAGAGGTTACAGTTCTATGTAACATTCTCATAGTACTTGTAGAGTGTTCACTTAGAACTTAGAAACTTCAGGTGTCCTTAAAGTGTCTCAATAATTTTAAACCCCACAATGCTTCTGTTGCAAGGATATGGTGGGGTTGTGTGAATGTATACAACACCTAGAAACTCCTGAGATAGATTCAGTTTTCATTATATCGATACTTTGTCCGTCTTGTTTTCTTGTATTCAACCTGTAGGTTGAAATTTTTGAGAGACTTTGATGCAATTTGGTGCACCAGCTTGTCTTGGCCCCAAGGACGAACGCTATTCGCAATGATTCGAATTAGATAACTTTTTCGACCACTTTCACATATCGCACTTTATGTTAAGAGTAATATTTTGGTGTATGGTATTTAATAGCAAGCCGTACCGCACTGTAGCATTTTCACTTGTTCAAAAATGTAAATAATAATATAAATTCAAGTGAAAAGCAACACAACAGACAATGCAATGCAACAAAGTAATGCTTATGTTATACGCACACAAATATATCTTTTATCCCTTTGTGACAACGTTGAACTCATCCGGAAACTTTTTACCATATCCAGTCTATATATTACGCCTCCTCCACAAAGTAGACAAGGAAAACAAAGTATTGATTGTGGCTTAATTACATGTTACCTTAACGGTACAATTATTTGCACTCTTCAAAAGACACACAAAGTTTACCGCAATAATTCCGAAAGAATTTTGCAAAGAATTTATTAAGGGCAACATTTTGGTTTGTGGTAAAAGGTATGAAAAGAAGAGGAAATTTAATAAACCTTCCTCATTTTAATGTGCAAGAGCTTAAATTCATTTATGTACATGCATATGAACAAGAATGAAAAGCATGAACAACTCGCATATTATACGAATCTGTTTAAAGTTATAAGTGAATGTAAGGAGACGAAAGAAAGAACATTATGCATGTAAGGATGATGCACAAGTATCGAGCATTTATCAATTGAAAATTTAAATGTAAATCACTTGAGAGTCTAATGATGTCATCATAGCGTTTGTAGTCTATTTTACCATAATCATAAAATATTTATTATTGAACGAAAGGTTTAATAAACCTTTTTTTCGGTAAAATTTTCAAAATAAAAAAGTTATGAGATGCCAATTAAACTTGAAAGTTCTGTGGAAATGTCTATCAAAAGGTCTTACTCATGGGAGAATTGCGCTTTTCTTTTTTATTTTTAAAATTTTATAGTCATAATCTATAACTGTGTTACAGCATCCTTTGGGAAATTTAATGACGAACTTATGATGAATTTATGAATGATATAGTATCGCACTAAAATTGAAGTCATAATAAGAATAAAATGTTGAAGAATTTCACAGATAAAATCCATACATAATTAAAAAATCCTATAAAAATCCTTAACAAGTGTCCTTGACAAACTATGCGGCTTAACAACGGGTTTTAATGGCGACTGCATAGAAATCCCTTATCTTTACCATACATACTGATAAATAACCATACTGACGACATTAAATTTCTGTGATCATGGAGAATTAGATTCACCGTACGTTGGGATTTGAGAAACTAAATATGATATGAATAATGTTAAGAATAAAAGGTAAGTCGACAAATTCGAATTAAAAAATTTCTAAAAAAAAACTAAGTTATCATATTTGCACCTTTTACTGACATAACTCGCACAATTTCTCACTAAAGCCCTTAATTTACTTTTAAAGACGTAGTTGTAGTTATCGAGTTTTTTCGCCATACAATGCAGGCGGAAGAAAAAAATATGTCAATAATCTTAACTTACTCTGATTTAGAAGAAACAATGGCAAGAGCCAACGTTTCCCTAATATATTATCTGTTCGCGTTATCGTGACATTCCCATCGTCTTCAGTGGTTAACCTAGAATTAGCTTTCAGCGGCAATAGTGACAAACACCATCTCAGCCCAAGAATTTCTCAATCTTCGACCCCGATATATTTCGCATATTATTCTCGTCTGTGATCTACGTACTTGCCATCTCCCCGGTTTCTTTTCGTTTCTACAACGACTCGAAAGTAGAAGTCCAAATTTTCCCCCACTATCTCACGTGCTACTCATCGAACTTTTGTTCGTACCTAGCTTTAAAACTATTCCCCAACGATGTTGTAAGATAAAATGTGTCTCCTCTGTCTGTCCTCTTAAATTTTCTCAAAAATTTCGTTGATTTTGTCAATAAGTTATCGACCAAAATGAGGGAAGACTTTGACAAACGCGTCGTCATGGTACTGGCCTTGAACACAAATCCTAGGAATTTTCGCATGGACTTGCAAAGCGCTATCGCCTTACTCCAAGCGATCTTGTGAAATTGTAACGATTTAGCTTATTTTCATTTTCATATATGATTTTATTCTTGAATTATCGATGAACTAACCCTTTTCACACGCCCCATATACTATGGTTTGATAATGACTTCGCGAAAATTACGCTACTCTGAAACCACCTATTGGAAGAAAAGCTATGACTTTTTTATTATTATATTTTCTGAGCTGAGCTTTCAGGGCTCGTGGACGAATACATTTCAAAGGGTAGGTAACGGAATATTCGCTCGATAATCTCTCTAAAGATATTACCTGAAATCACAAAAATAGCTGTCTACAATTCCTGCAAAAAGTTTTTTCATTGTCTACAGCAAAAGTTTATTTTGCTAGAGAAATATGCAATTGTAGGGAGTCCATTTTTCGTCTTCTATAGAAGACGTTCTTCCGTTCGTATAAAACGCTAGGAAAAGTGCGTGAATGTATTTCTCTGCTTTGTAGGGATTTGAAATTAAACTTTTCAATTCCTCTTTACTTTCTGCTTTGTGTATTTATGTTTTTAATATATGTTGTTTATAGGTTAATATATGTTAATATCAAGCAACATGCACTTATCTCTAAATCTTTATCAGTAGCAATGTTTATAATATATGAAAAGGTGAAACAAAGAAAACTACATGCTTTGTACTTTACCATTAACAGCGAACTGGGTATGACAGACAAATCAACTGCCGGTATAGATGTCAATAAGCCACTTGGATATTTTTTCAAACGACTTGGGAAAAATGTTGATTCAACACCCTGTTTTATAATGTGTTTTATAAAAGCATAATTAATAGCCATAGGTAGTTTGAAATATTTCATTTAAACCGTTTTAATTATGTAATATAAAGTAAAGTTTTCATAATCTTTTCGTTTTTTTTTTTTGCAGTAAAGGGTAAAATTTAATATATTTAATAACGTAAAATGATTTATTTATAACTGTCTGTACATATAGTTAAAAAATTTATATTTTCGTATCTTCTGTAGCCTCGACAACTGCTTTTCCTAGTAGCATAAAATTTGCAAAAAAAATCTTACCCATAGAAGCTTTACTTCGATAAATATTCGTGCACCTTAATACAGGTCTTTAAACTTTCAAATAACTCTTTGCCACGTCTAACATTTTGTTAAAATTATTTAATATTCATGTTGCAGCTAATGAAGCAAAATAGTCCCATAACTTTTTCGCGTTATTTATATGCAAAAACGTGACTGAAACATGAGTGGATATTCATTGCCTTTCAATAAAGATTCTTTCTAAGCTTACTAAAGCACTTGCGAAAGTTTCTCCAAACAAATGACTATTATTTAAAGAAGATAAATGCGGAAGAAATAGTGCGGATTGTCAAATAAATGCACAGACGATCAAGACGTCAAGCAGACAATGGAATGAGGGGCAAAAAATCAATCCACGAACATTATCGCATTCTATTATCACATATTCTAGAAACTATTGGTTAGCAAGTTAGATAGTTAGAGATAAGCAAGTTATTTTGATTGCCTTTGCAATTTCACTTAAGCCGCATATGCTCTATGTGCAACGTCCTTGTACAATGAGTGGCTTCCCCGCTCACTATTAGCTGCTGTGGCTATCTTCTTTTCCGTAATGCTACCTTATCCATCCCTAAGTTAGCATTAATAGATGGTAAGCAAACATCTGGATTTTAAGGTCATTTTACGAAAATTATGATATTTTCATATGATGTTATCCTACTTTTTTTTAACTTAAGCCGAAGCCAAAGAAATAAACGACCTATCAAATAGCCGCAGAGTTAACAAACTACAAAATGGTTTATAGCACATTATACGCACATTCTGATTGCATTATAGATAGGCTGCGCATACGCATATAAATAATACATCGGTTAATAATTCTCGGTAAAAAAATAGTTGTCCAAATCCAATTTTCTCGATGGTTTGCTTCACGCGTGCTGCAATTTGTTAATACGTCTCTAACGTTTTGTTACGTTTCTTGACGAAGGATTTGTCAAGACCATCAAGATATGTTTCAATTTCTTCATTGATTTTTTCACTTGATTCGAATATTTTTCTCTCACTCTTTCAGGTGCGAAAATATAATAGTCGTTTGTAAATCAAGTATGGAGAAAAGAGTTAGATAAACATTAAAATTCAAACTCCAGCTCATGGAAGCTTGCCTCTGTATCCATCGAGTTGCGACAGGGTGGATTTGTTCCATTAACAACTTCCGCATGGACAAGTTTTCGTGCAAAACAGTAAACGCACTGCCTTTCAACATCTTTCGGATATCATCCATCGTTTTCACGGTGATTCACTCTTCGATAAGAGAGAACAATTTTCGGAATTTTTTTGACAATTTCTCTTTGGCAGCCTCCACGTTCGCCATTATTAGTATCCGTACGGTACTGTATAAAGTGAAAGAATCACTACAGCTTTCGGCATAATATGTATGTTATAATATTTGTTTGAATGATATTTTGCTCGTAAAAAAGCAATTTAATCGGGTATGGAGTTGACATGGAGTTTTGATGGGCGTCATTTGAATGTTCCCAGTTTCTAATGATGTCATGGATTTTTCGTTAGAGACGTCATCTACATATCAATCACGAGAATTGTTGCCCGATACATACATATATATATATATACTTTCTTATTTGCGCCGATTTGAGAATTTTTTGATTAAAAATTTTTGCGAAACTATTTTTAAAATGCCGCATCATTTAACTTCTGAGAGGAATGGAGGAAAATTTTTGAATACAAAAGTAAATTAACAGTCGAAAAAAGTCCTTGAGCCTTACAGTCAGCCATATTCCGCATTATTCTTGATTTGGAGATGCGACTTTCTACTAACGACTGAGTTTTAGAAAATTTGCAGCCATCGAATTTTCCGCGAAACCCTCAACAGGAATGCCCAACCAATTTGGTTAAGAAAGACGTTTTAACGAAGATAATTATTTAAATAATTTTATAAAGTAAAAGTAGTTTGTATTATATAATACAATCATTAAAGAAACAGTGTATGCCAAACGATTTGGGAATTTTGTGCTTTTCGTTTGCCGCCTTTACACTCCATAGGATAAAAGGCACATTACAACCTGAATAACTTTCGAAAAATACAATTCCACTCATACATATAAGTTTGCATATCAAATAAATTAAAATTACATTTCGAATCTTTGTATTGCCGTATATTGAAGTTTTAAGGTGGTTCTCTACGGAATTATCTACTTCATTATATGAGCTTTTGAAGTAAACAAATGCATTCAGAGTGCAATTCTTTAAATTCTTTAAATGTTGATGACAGTGAGAATGATTTCATTTTAGAAAAAAATTCAAAATTGAAAAAAATTCGCAATTTAATAGATGATAGTCGACAAAAGTGTAGCTATTGAAGATATGGGCGTTTCGATGAGAAGCAGTAAAAACATTCTAATGCACAAAAAATTCTTTCGCAAAATATTTTTGCACACATATGAAAAGGGTAAAATTACAAATTTTTTTGGAATATTTTTCAACAAACGCAAACAACGAAAACTAAATTTCCAATATACGATATAGGATGCAAAATTTTATGAATATTCGTAGAACAAAATGGAAATTTAAGAAGCAAAAGAAAAAAAATTGTACATAGTAATGGGGGAAAGGATTTTGTAGAAATGCTATTGTTATCTTTGTTTATCTAACGTGAAGCTTTCGTATGCGAAACGATGTGAATTATTACCCATATTTGGTTATTTCATCTCTCTTCTATTCTTCTTTTCTTTTTTTTTTTTTCTTGCTTTACAATTCCATTAATCAAATAGGTATCAGTAGAGCTATTTATTGGCAAAGCTACTTATTTGCTTACCTCTAACACAACAGCTTCCAACGCTGGTTGTGAGATATTTTTCATTGTTGTATGATTGAGTTTAGGTGCGCTGTCGGCACGATTACGTCCCAATGATTGATTTGATGTACGATTGTCAGCCTTGCTCAGCACAGAATTATTTGAGGATTTGTGATTGATTTCCAAAGCTGAACGTAGAATGTCAACCTTTGAGGCACTGCCAATGCCATGCTTAGGCACACGTATTGATTCAACGTTGTAACTACTACGTCGTATAGATAAATGATCATGTATATCACCCTAAGGACATTAAAAAAAAATGCATTCATTTCGAATTTTTTTATATGAACCTTATACACACATACCCTTGAACCTCTAGGCAATGACGTAAGACTACCTATTTGATTGTATTTTATCATTAGACTTAAACGCTCCAATGACATTGAAGTCCCTTGCTCTTTAGTGGCGGGTTCAGTAAGTTTATCCGTTTCACCTGTTTCCACTCCTTCACCCTCATCTTCGGATTCTTCCATATTATGATCGAATTTTCGCAGCCACACCAAGTGTAAAATTCCATAAGCTATACCGCCTACTACCGCCAGTAAACCCATATAACGAAACGCGTCTCTTGTACCGAATTGACCAATTAGTAGGCCTCCAAAAAAGGAACCGCTACCACGTCCTTAATGAAAGTTAAAAAAAAATAAATAAATATAGTATATAGGAGTAATGCAAAATTTATGTGATTGATGGCAACAAGCAAATAAAGAAATTCGTCGAAAGTTGACAGTGTGGCGACAAAGTTTGCCTACCAGAGCCTGTTATTTATTTCCATTAGGAACATTGAAAATCTTTTATTTTTTTTAAACCTTGCCACAAGTAATATCTCTAGCCAGATAACATTTTCCATAGGTCGATGTCTTATACTCAATCTTATCTGCTTTCTTAGGGTCTATCAACTAGAAACTGTCGCCTAAAAAATAAAACCTTGCTTACTTCAAAAGAAGGGAAAAAGTATTGTCCATTACCAGCTGTGCATTTTTCGTATAGCTCGACTTCAGAATTGTCGAAATCTTGCTCAAAAGGTTTGTGCGGTATCGATGCAAACAGATAGTAGTCCGATCAAGCGACGTCTATTGAATACGATGAACGGGGAAATTCATTCAATTGAAGTGCTTTCACCTTATATTCAAAAAATTCCCAGCGTATTCAACCGCCTTGTCGTGGGGCTAGCTTACCTTACCACGCTTGCGGACCCAGCCCTAATCGATCGAAGCGCCGTTTAAATTGATTACTTCTCGCTGATAACTTTGAGTATTAACAGCTTCACATGCTGATAAATCCCGTAATACTCCATACTTTTCTGATCTCACCAAACACGGAGCATTATATTTTTCTCAAAGCGATTCTGCTTTGTTGCTACTGATATTGATGGTTGGGATTGATTAAACTATGATCTCTGTGTTTTCGAAACATTGTTTGAAATTTTCAAAATATTTCGCCACTCGTAAAGATATGATGCAATTTCAATTTGCGAAATTAAATTTCATAAGACTTAGCTTTAGAAAGTTTTGCGGTCACCTTCCATTTTTTCTTTTCTTTTTTGATTAAATAAGGAAAGCAATGCATGTCTCATTTTCCCTGAGTTCGCTACGATGTCGTTCATTTTCAGTAGAAAAAAGTTCAAATAATGCTATCTCTTACTCAAATCGATAAGAATTTACTTTCGAACCTACTATATATGTTTGCATTTATCGGACGAGTCCTTGTTTTAGTCGAGAAAAATTTTTGTGGCAATTTAATCGTCGCTCTACTTGATACTCTACAGCTTTCCAAAGCTATCGTTTCGCCCTCTTATCCTATACATGTGCAGTAGTTCGCATAAGAAATGTTTGAAATTTTTTCATTTTATACTTAAAACTGCTGATCTCACATTAATATTCTACTTCACGTTTGAGAATTCTTACCAATCACTTCACATATCAATTCACACGTTAACCAAGAACATACATTCAAATGTTAATCTCCAAAAAAAAAAAGAAAAAAAAAAAAAAAAATCATTAAATATGGAAATCAAGCAAGATTTCATTTCGCATGAATGTAGAAAACCGAAATCGAATTGTAAATGTAATTGCACTTACCCAAGCTAAAGTGTGCCATACCCAGGACGCCGATCAATGTAGCTAAAAGGCTTTTTGGAGCTAAAATTGAGCAGTAAGTGGCGGCAGCCACCCACATTAAGTGGCAGGACAAAGCCTCCATAGCCTCAAAGGGGAAACACCACCAGGCATTTCTGCAATAAAAACACATCAGTACACAAAACACATACGATAAGGATTTTTAAAGGTGGTACTGTAATGATATTGGTAATATATAACAACAAGAACAACAACAAGAACAACAACAACAACAAAATTACATAACTGAGTAAACAGAACAAAGTTGTTAAAATCGGAAACACTCTATACCCATAGCAATAAACTTAAAGTTACTTAGCAAACAATAACAAACAACACAAGAACAAACAATGCATGCACGATACAGTATAATAAGGAAAAGCTTTTTGTATGTGTTCAATAAGCTATGTAGTTAGTGGCAATAGCAAAAACAAACAAAGAAACCAATTATATGCTTACTCAATAAACGAATAGCCCACCAAACGACCGGCATGAGAAAAGAAGGCAATAATAATCAAATTCACATGACCGAAGATTTTGGTAATTTTCTCAGCACCATAAAGGAATGGTATACTGCTTACTGTACCCACGGTTATTGTGATGCCTAATAAAGAAAGTATACACAAAACACATAAAACATTGATTAAATTTAGCAAATCAACTGAATGAAACGTGCCATGTACACGCATACACATAAAAATATACCTAATAAATAATTCGGTGCACCCAATTCCTTAAGATAAAGAAATAGAAAACTCTCAATGAAACCCCAGAAGTTGCCCAGAATAAATAAAAAGAAAATGAATGTTATCACATGCGGCATTTTTAATAAATTCCATAAATCTCTAAAGACATTATCAGCGGGCAACTTTTCGCCCAACGGCATCATTAACACCGACACTGTAGAAATAACCAACAGCACATCGTATGTATAGAAGGCGGCCGAATAGTCAGTGTAGCCAAGACCACGTGAAAAATAATCAATCATGATACCGGTAATAGGCGAAAAGATTGCCATACCAATGCTAGAGAAGAGACGTTCGCGCCCAAAATCGCCGCCGTACTTTTCAATCATTGTCAAGGCAATCGGGTCCATTATCGTGACACCGGCTGACAGCATCGTGGTCGCCAAAAACCTACAAGCACAAGATGAAAATAAAACAAAGAAAACAAAAACGAAAAATTAAAACTATCTGGAATGAAATGCTAATAAATCTAACAAGTTATAAAGGAGATAAATAATAAATATATTCTTTTAAGCTGCATCGTAACCAATGACTAACTCAACTGAGAAGAAAATCTCTTACGGCCTTATAAAGACTACTTAAAGTGTATTGATTTATTGCACAGGTTGATATCGTTATAGTTCTCTGTTGCTGGTATATGTTTAATTGACACATTACTACCTATTAAGTATAATTAAACATAGCACAAGCACAGCAATTTGCCCCATTAAATAAGTTAAAGTAACACTTTTAACCTTATATTATAGTTTAATTTAAATCTTTAAATCTGTTTATTATAATGAATTGAAAGGAAATTTCTTAAATGATTATTACAAAATTAATTACAATGCAAAACAAGTAAGAAAATTAGATTCGGTCGTGACCGTACATTTTATACCCATCACCGTTCTACTAAAAAAGACCAAAAAAAAAAAACAAAAAAGAAGAAGAAATAAGTTTTCATATTTTACAATATTTAGCGGTTTTTTCTATTTTCAGCACAAAAGTGGAAATCTATATAGTGAATGTATTGTACTTTATGCGGATCAAGCAAAAAAGACGGAAAGCAAAGCTGTTCACCGCAAGGTTGTTCACAGTTTTTATTGCACAAGCTTTTGGGCGTTATAGGCTTTATGTGCTTTAACCGGGTTAGATCATTTTCAAAGACTTGGACGATATCTTCATTTTTGCCAAAGGATAGGTGGGCAGATGGACAGACGAACAGGTGCACGGTGCATTCCGAAGCTATATACTTTAGGGAGTTGCGGATCATGCGCATTGTAAAAGTTTTGAAAAAAAATTAACTTATGACACACTATAGAATTGAATTCGCGAACCAGTTTTCTCTATTTTTACGGAGGTACTACAGCATCACCCATATAAAATATTTTCAAATTTTTGTAGACTTATCTGGTGTAGTTTATGAGTAATGAACAAAGAACTAACTTTTTATTCCTACAAGGCAAGTGATTCTGAATAGATCGAGATAATAAAAGGTGGGTCTATCTCAAGTACTTCTGAATGTTGCGTACATCCGTATAAACTTAATATACCCCACAATTGGTGTAGGGTACAAATATGAAAAGATTAGTTATGATAACAGTTGCATTTTTATGCATGTAAAAGAATAGAGAAACTAGTTGTTCTCCCATTTTTTAAAAACATAAAGCAAGCATGACAGCTCCCGAAAAAGAATGTTTCTTGCATGGCCTGCCTTGCTGTATACCACTTTTTTGTTTAGAAAAACCAAACTAGGCATTTCTCTAACATGTGCCGCAACAGCTGCTGAGCTTTTTGAGATTTTTTTCGAAAAATTGATTTTAAAAATCATGTCATCGATTAGAATTTTATTTTGTTTTACTCATAAAGCAAATCGTACGCAGGTCTTATTTTGAAGCTACAGATAAAGTTGGAATGCAAGCCAATATAATTTGAAGATAAAATCGAAATTTTGAACACATAACAAATTTAAAGAAATTTTGGTTCTGCATTCTTTGGATTAAACGATTAGTTGAATCCTTTGACTTGGTTCATTCTCATAGCAGCATTGAACTTTAAAGTTTTTTCATCTCCAATCTCTTTTTGATGAAGCTGTCAAGTTCACTCAAAAAACTTTTAAATTGCACTACGATTATATCTGAGACTTTTCGAATCGTTTATAAATTTGGCTTTTAAAGATAAAATATCACAAGACTAAATTGTCCTTTATATCAAGCAATGAGCAAATGTTTTTATTGTTTTCGTTCCTAATAGATGTAACGGATTTCCTCATCCCGATTATGAAGACTTAAAAATAACTACATTGATATATATATTTCCTTAGTTTTCCTTCAACTGCCATTTTCAATTAACAATTCTATCCGAATCACTGATAATAAATACTAACATCTATCCTCATAAACACATTCCAAATTATTAACGTTTTACTGCATTCTCTAACGTACATTGATCAATGCACTCAATAAAGCAAAAAATGGAGGAAAACCACAAATTTACTGCATTCGATACGAAATGAAATACGAAACTCCGTTATAATCCGATTAATGTAAGTCTCAATAAAATGTATTACATTAGCACTCTAAGCGAAAATTAACCAATGACCAACCATTTACAGAAATTCAAGGAAGCGAGAACACACACACACACATTATGTCGATTATAACAAATTTCAATTAGATTTACTGAATAAAGGGATGAAATTAATACGTATTTCACATCGACTCATACGAAATAACAAATATTTCATGCATCTACTACTTATGAGAGTGTGTTTCCCTTCCGTCACTTTTCTATTGATAAGCTCTAAGTAAGCAAGCTTCCGTAAATGATGTCAAAGATATCTAATACGGCCAACTCAACTAGTTCGTTGTTGATGCAGGTCTGCTGACATATTTACTCGATATGTATACATATATATATATATACATGTGGATATATGTATATATTGCCGTACCTGCATAACTATACTAAAATCCATTACAACCAAGAGGATATTTGAAGAAGAGAATTTGTGCAAAGAATGTTTTAATAAGTCACATCACATGTCAAAGACAGCAAACAACCTGTGTTTACATTACCGAAATGTAATACAAACACCCAGACGTTTGTAAACGCAGAGGCTTACATAGAAAACACATTCAAATTTCTATTCTACCTTCTGTGTATGAATTTTCCTCTTTACTCACATCAATATATATTCAAGCATTTATCTGCAAGCAAAGTGAATGATATCACATAGCTTGAATGCTTATGTTACTTACTTACCGCAGCAGAAAATAAATCCAAAAGATGGTGTCATCGGTCTCTTTATAGTCGGGCGGACATATTTCCGGTGCATTAAGTGTAAATTCACAACGTTGTACCATGCAGGTGACAGTCTCATTAGAGAGACGTGACATATTATGCCGTCTAGCAATGCCACCGCAACGTAAATCCAATTCCTCTAAATCGGTAACATTGATTTGCATGTCCCAAAGGCGACGTTCACCAAAACGTTGCTTGAAATCCGTAACCGTTTCGTTATCATCTTGTTCAATTTCCATACCCAACTGTTCGATGGGATCCGCTAAATCAGGATGCATTTGTAGCATAAAATACGTTGAATCGCTGGCATTCGAATGTACCCAACTAACCGTAATAGGTATCGTATCATTTTCAATATCTACCGTTTCTGACAAATAAAGCAAGAAAGAAAATAGTAAAAATACATAAAATTTTATATTACATACATACAGAGATAGCAACATTGCAAAACGAGTGGTTCTTATAAAAGCATCAAACGAAATTACAATACAATAGGATTTTAAAATTGAAAAGCATTTCAATTTCGGAAATCAAATCAAAACGAAAAAGAAAACTTTCAATTTTGTATTAATCGTTTTTCTACTCATTACATTTCATTTTTGCACTCTACATCATTTATCGTACAAGCTGTACTGGGTTTGTGCGTATCTACTACTTCACACGTAGAAAGGCTTAAGGTAGACGTACCGTTCCTTAAACCGATCAATTCAGAATCATTTTACGAACCCATTCAAGTTCAACCAAATAATGTCTGTCCGTTTGCCGTCTGCCTAGATTTATATATATCACATAATCTACAAGTCGCAATTGTTAAGATGTTATAACGAAATTTGCTACACTGACGTGCTTTGGTCCAGAGACGAACCACCTATCATCTCTTTTCATAACAAAAGATCTATTTATTAAAACATTATACGATGAATATTGATTTACTGCAATAATTTGACAGAAATTAATTGCACCATATTTGGACTGGGGCTATTTTTTGGACACAACCCCTTAAAATGATATTTAGGAAAAGTAAGCCTTTACATGGCAGCAAAATATACTTTTTTGGACTTTATAAAAATTATCAATGGGGTCTTTGATAAAGCGATTAGTTTCGTTAAATTTAGACTTTGTTGGTTTACTCTTCGATTCTTCTTCCGTATAAAGACGTATATAAAAAAAATGCCTTTAGTTGGAAACAATCATTTATTATGAAAATAAAGGGAAAATTGTGCCACGTGAATCATAGCAAGGGATACAATGATCGGCCTTGCCCAACTATAAGGTTTTTAATAGTTTTGTTTCGTGTTCCTCTTGATCCACAGTTTTAGCGTACTTAGATTCAACTATAGGTAATAAGCTTTGTCACTCAGCACATACTAGTTGAGTCAAGCATTCTTAAACAATTTTTCAACGATTTCACGAAAGAGGCGTGGTATCTTCAACTGCACATATATGAGACCTGCTCTTTACTAATCAACAGTATCGTTAAATATTTTATCAAACATCCTCCATTCGCATGTAGAGAATGCTTTAAGACGTCGAAAATAGTGATTTTGAAATTAAGAACGAAAAAGTCGAATATTATCGAACAACAAAGGGAGAGACGTGTAGAATATTATATACAGATCTATTTTGTTAACAAAGGATAATATATGTAATAGCAGACACACTTCAAACAACGGGCACACTTATAAACCACCTAATTTTTTTGAAAGAAGAAAATCAATCTTGAGCCAAGGTCCTACAAGGTCCTGCGTGAACACACAACAATGAGAATTTCGGGTTTAATTTCAAGATTGCGAAGGAATATGTTCTGGCAATGCATTAAAGAGCTTATATGCTTCGTCTGCTAATCTTTTTGTCCTATCCGCTCACACGAGATAATGTTTCTTTGTTGGTGAAATTTTCAGGATTTCAACATTTGCAATAAAGGAAATTTGTAGCATCGATGTTTTCTAAACACGATTAAATCTGGGACGTTCGACAATGCCATAAAGATTGTAACAACAATCGCAGCAGATCTTTTCATATTCAGCTTGGAGAACCTATCGAATAAGTAGCATATAAAAACTATTCTCTTATCCCCTCGGTCAAATCCCGAGATTAAAATCTAAGCACCCCTCTTATATATACTAAAGGAAGTTTTTTTTTTTTTTTTTTTTACAACATATCACATCACAAACATCTTGTTATGACTATTCAATGGCAATATTTGAACTTCATCACACGTTATGATGATGTTGCGCATTTTAAATCCACTACGGTAGCAAGCATTGCACACCCTTGGGTTGACTTTTATTGGACGGGCTATAAGTACGTAATAAACTACAGAAATGTAAAGCTTTAACAAATTAAATGGATTCAAAGAAATTTTGATAGCAAAATGAGATAAAACCTCAAATTGTTGTAAACACTCATTCATACAATCACTTGATATAATGGGCAGAGAAAATATAAAAATTTTTCGATAATAGATTGAATTGAACTTATGAAAAGACTTCAATACGATTTTAAATGATGATCTTGAACAATCAAGACACGATTTAAGTATAAATTTTATGCAGTAAAACACATTCGTTATTTGTTAAGGAATGTTTTAAGCTTAGTTTATTAAGTTGAATCAGCAAAATCCGCAATTTGTGCAGAGCATAGAAACGAGAGAAAAAGTTTCACGAAAGCATTGTAGTGCTTTTGTATTTAGCAAATTTATTCAGGGAGTTATATTGAGAAAGGTAGATATCTTCAAAGTAATGGATGGTTTAAGGATATTTCTCTTAATAATTTTTCATCTTGTTTTCGACAAAATTACATCGCTGCCGTTAGTACGTCAGCTTTTTTGCATGATTATGTAAAACATTTTATAAGGTAGATTTTTCCATATACAAAACAATTCCTCCACAAATGGTAAACATACAGCAGCTTCCGTACGAAAAAGTTTCACTAAACAACAATTTTCCCTCCCCACTGTATTTAAGTCATTTATAGTTCCGCGTAGAAGCTTGCATGGGAGATACCTTTGTCAAGCCGACATGTCTGAGCAAAAATCGATAATTTTGAAAAAGTTTATATTGATATTCGGGTCTGTACTAAACTAAACGAGTTTTTTTTTCACGAATATAGATGAGTATGGTACCAAATACGATGAGTTATTGGACAACCTTTTTCTTATTTTTTTACTGTCTCCATTTACTCAGGATATGTCACATATTCGTGCAGCATGTGAGCGCAGCCTGGTGTGGGTGTGTATCAATCGGTGAACGCGGTGAACGCAGAATATTTACCGCTACGACCAAAATTATTGCACAATCTGTGTATCGATGATTACTCTATGAACCATCCCATACTCGGAATTCAATTAGCTGCTACTTAGCGACGTAAAACCACTAATTTGTGCTTATGTTGCTTTAGAAATTTCCGCATAGGGCCGGTTTAGGCTAATATATACATATCGAGTGCGCGATCGATTCGACTGTCATTTCCAACAGTATCATTTTCGTGAATTTATACAACTCGAGAGAAATGTTTCAATGAACATATCAAACAACGTTATACCTTTGCTATAACAACATACATGCAGGGAAAAAGAAAGTAAACAATTAAATAAACAACACAACAATTCCAATTAAACTATTGTAGCCTACATGTTTTTTGAAATATTTGGACGAAATTTAGTACACCGGCGCGTTTTGGGCCAAAAGATGAACTCTATTAAAAATGATTCGGATATGACCACTTTTTCGATTACTTCGTATAAAACGGCGTATTTTGAAGAGTCGCTATATAAACAACTCTATTAAGCGAAGTGGTATAACACACTCCGTGTTATACCGTTGTCCGTGACCTACTATAATGATTTTAAGTAAGTACACTTAATCACTTAAGTCAAATTTAAATATCGAGAAAATAATAATAAATAATTTAATATCATGCAGCGGTTAAAAATGATTTTTTAATTGCTTTATGCAAGAGTTGAATATGCAAAAATTTCGCAAAAATACTTTATGAAATAGAAACGAAACTGTGCCAGTGCACGATATAATTCAACCGTGACTGCTTGGCTTGTAAAGAGCGGTCTCTGAGGAAATATAAAATTACAGGAGGTAAATGCATAATTTTTTTTACCATAAACTCTATATAAAATTTTTCCGAATTTTAACAATGCTGGCATGTTTAAACAAAACTCACATTGACAGGCGAAGATCATTTAAAAACGAGCAGGGCAGGAAAGAGTCACAAGTGCCTAATTATTGCAGTTAATGCAATCGATTGATGTGACAGTATACGATTCGCTCGTTTGAAAAAATTCTGCCGAACGTAAATTCGGAATTGAAATTCGAGAGCTCCTTTAATAGCAGCGCAAACCTTAAGTGTTTTTAGAAAAAGGCGGGAAATTCTATATGATGTGAAGAAGTTTAAAGGAGATCTTGCGCTAATAAAACCGTAAAGTTTGCAAAAGTTTGCGCTAATTTATATAATATCTGTGTAGAGGAGTGTAAATTTTCCGATATAACATTAGATGATACTACGCAAATTTATGAGAAAATCGTTAACAACAGTGTTAAATAAAAATTTGTGAAAAATTAGAGATCAAATTGAACAAAGTTTAATAACTTGCAATAAACATTTTATTATTCATTTAAAATTTCTAATTGCTAAGTGAATGTTTATTTTTATTTTCATATTAACTTTAAACTGCTCGTCTTTTATTCGATTCTAATTTTAATTCTTTCCAAACTATATATTTGCATTAATCCCAACGTTAACATTTTAATTTATTGCACCGACCAACACTCCATCCATGAAAATCATTATTTTCCTTTTATTACTTTTCGCAGCATTCTAGAATTTCCATCACTAATGACATTAGATAGCCTTTATATTTATTAATGGTACGAAAAATGTGTATTGTGTAATAATATTTTATTTTCCTTTTGAACATATTACTCGATAGCTATTTTATGATGGAGAAATGTTTCATAGGATGGTCAGAAAAATGCATTTTATTTATCGATTGCCGTAAATCCACTATTTGATAGATTGACTCGATAATTCAAATGAAAAAATTACGTTTGAATTTGTTACATATCGGGAAACATAAACCGACTTTAAAGGCTCTAATATGTTGCAGAAAGAAATGGCCAAAGTAATTATGTACAAATAAACCTAGCATTAACTTTCATCACTTATTAAGCACTTTTCATTCACCCCGTGCATGTACGACTGGCAACACCAATCAAATATATCATTTATTATGTGCTAGGTATAGAGAAGCTGAAAACTCTTGAGAAAGTACATGAAACAAGTAGCAATTAAGCAAAGTCGAAAGTTAAAAGATTCGTATAAACAGGCATATGAATGCTTGAAGAGCACGCATCGATCAGCCAACCCGGCTTCCAGTTCTTCCCGAACGAAATGCAGTTCTTTCCTTTTTCCCGGACGTGTCACACAAGCACACACACACACATCTTCTTCACTTTCAGTGTAAGAAGTGATCAAGCAAAAAAAAATTTAATTTGAATAATAAAAATTAAAATATTATAACAAAAAAATTAGTTAACATAAATTAGATGTTTTAGGTGACTAAAGGAATAATCAAACGAAAATAATGTAAAGTTGTTAAGCGGTAAGATCTCTTGAATAATTTTAAAATAGGATTTTTTTTTTTTTTTGATAACTTTTTTAGGATGAAAAAAAAGTTAATAGAATAATAATTGTCGATGGGGTTATTAAGCGTCAGCTAAAGCATACTAAACAATGACACTAGAGGAGACTTTCTCGCCGGCCCGGTTTTTGGTGCAAACTTGAATCGGAAAAAAAAAACATATAACGTTCAAGTTTATACGCACGAGGCATTAGAAATATTTCTTCTTGTGCTACGAACGAGTGTTTGAGTGGAAAAGTTTTATTTTCGGCCAAGACCAGAGAGTCGTTTATTAACAAAAAGTGTTTAAATGAACTTATTCAAAGCTCCCTCAGTAATACTACTTTTCGGAAATTTGAAGATGGCGTCAAAAACTAAAGCAGAAAAACTGAAAATTCTAGAAACTGTAGGCCGCTTTGAAAAATATCCCATTCTCCTTTCTTGACTTCGAGAATTCCATGTTCAAATGTACTATTTTTCTCCATCCATCAAAGATAGCGTCGCAGGTTTTTCATTTTACGAGAAAAAGGGTATGAAAGGGAAAAGAGGAAAAAATTTTTAATAAAGATTAAAATCTTCATACATTTTGTGTTTCGAGAGCAGAGACATCGGCCCCTTTCGAATCGTATTAAACCTTATATCTATTTCATGGTCGTCCTATTGAAGCTACGCTAATATGTATTTATACAGAAATACTTTTAATTAAACAAACATTTTCATTTCGCAGATGTGATGTGTGTGAGAAGTTAGAAATCAACAGATAAGATTGCATTAGATTGCAACTTTCCAGCGAGTTTGTATTTCACACGGGCACTTTTTTGGGTGTGCTTGATGGAAAGATCTAAGTACTTGGAAAAAAAAATTCCTTCCAGTTGGTGAATTTCTTTCCACATACTTCATAAGGCGTAACGATTGATTTTGCGAAAAATGTAAAGTAATTTCGCTACTTAAAAATATAACATGAACAGATACATGGTTGTTTGATGTAGAAAAATTATTTCAACTATTTGCCGAAGCTTAATGCAAAGAATATAGATAATTCTGTCCTTTGAAGATTGTATGATGGGCACCCAAAGGCCTAGTGGAACAAGAAACGTTGTTCTCTTACTACAACCATTGCCAGAAATGTTCGATATGTCCATGTGAAAGACATCCTAAAGACATCTGTTAAATGAAAAATGTTTTTCTGCAACTTCCCAACATAGGATACCTTTATGTAGGCCTTTTGGGACTTTCTGCAATATTGTAACCTCTTAACTAAGCGGTGCTCCATCGAAAAAGGCTATACCTAATCGGATTCCTTCCCAACATAAGACACCTTTATATAGGCCTTTTGGGCCTTTCTGCAATATTGTAACCTCTTAACTAAGCGGTGCTCCATCGAAAAAGGCTATACCTAATCTGATTCCTTCCATAGAAAAATGAATAGCAAAACGCAGAAAAAAAAGCGGTGGGCTGCTAAACTTTTGCATGGGACGAAAAGGCAGTACCTTTTCTCTTTGTAAATATACTTAATTGCGAATCCCGAAACAAATATAATAAAGTATGCCCTTCGGCATGCAAGTATATGGACACCATTTGTTTACTTTGGCTAAAGTCTTAAATGAGTAATAACTTAAAACGGTTTAACGCTTTAAAACATACGCTTAATATCAAAATCTCATAACAATAAAACATATGTTGATGTTGTTTTGAAGAAACCGAAACGACAACCCTTTGTTAACAAATCGCAACGTGCTACCTCTGAAGCAAGATTTTTTCTGATTGTGTGCTGCGTGTTTCGTTTCATAAACGCATTATTTTCTTCCAACTGCGTTTTGCAGAACGTGCATGAATACTGCCAAAATTTCTGTTACCCCGTATTATAGTTCGTGTGCTTCACAAATGAAATTTCAGTTTTGTCCTGCATTATTAAATTATCATATTTCTTTAATCATGCACGCACATGTATGTACTTACGATTCCAATCACTTGGCTGTTGAGTTTGTCCTAGCATTGATGATAGTGTTGTTGTTGTTGCTGTCACTGCTGTTGGTAGTAGCATCGTTGCTGTTGACATATTAAGTACATCTTTAAAGTTGATTTCGCCATTGTCTGCGTGTGCCATTGTTGTAATCATTGTCGTCGCTCCTTCTGTTATGTCTCTTGATGATGTGGTTAGCATTGAAGTGGATTCAGTTATCGTTGTCCTTTCAAGATACTCTGGCGATGGCGAGCTATATAATATTTTCTCTTGTAGCAGACAGTAATCAACACATTGATTTACCGCTAATTCCAGCTCAGGTTCCTCAGGGCATTCGCGACTAGGACACGGCGACCACCATACCTAAAAATGGAAAAAAAATATAAAAAGAAAAAGAAATATATTCGTAATGTTCACCAATGAGGCAGAGAGAGAGAGAGAGAGAGAGAAAGAGAGAGAGAGAGAAAAGGTTGATAACGATGGTAATATTTTTATAATTTTTCTTTAATGTTGTTATTGTCTATTCGTTAGAAAAAACGTAACGATAAGGAGTATTCCAGCAAATCTTGAGCATAAAAATAACAAGTTAAAGTTTAACTAACTATTAGTTAGCTGTATACAAAGTTAATTTTGCCAACTTTCAACATTGAAAGCGAAAAGAGAAAAACAAACTTTCTAATAGTTGCGTCTTACAGGAAAGCGCAACGTGGGAAGACCCACGCCACGCCACGCAAGCATACACACTCACCGACTAAAAACTATTAAAGAAAAGTGCATAGAAACACAAAAAAGTTTTTATAGAGACAGTAAAATAAATGGGTCTACATTTTCTATACCTTTCTATACCTATAATCCGATTTAGAAATTCATTTATAACAAAAAGACTGTTTATGGTCGTTAATTAGAAAAAATCTATTTTTTGATAACTTTGAAATAAGTTGAATCACACAAACAAAATAATCAATTCAAGTAGGACAAAGCAATAATACATGGCATTGACACAGTAAAAAATCGGAAAAGAAATGAAACAAATGTAAAAGTAATATAAAAAATGTGTGTTTTTTTTTTTTTTGCTGGATAAGAGTAAAGATAGAAATGCAAATAGAAGTATTTTTAAAAGAAAAGTAGAAATAGAAGTAGAAGTGCAATTATGTTATTGTATAAGAGATAATATTGAAAATTCTCCTCGGCTTGGAGCATCTTTTTGTAGCCTGGTCTTCTTAAATGATTGGATAGTATCAGTTGGTTGTTGTTTAGTCACAGCATCACATAGGGTATTTCTTCAGGTTTTTCACTCATTTTTAAAATCAAAATAGGTTTTTCCACAAGCAAAATAAGCCAATAGCCTTAGATATTAGTGCTTTAAGATTTTAGTCTCAGAATGTATTTCTCTGGCTAAATCAACAATAATAATAATAATAATAATACACAGGCAAAGAATTAGAAAATTATCCTCACAAAAAATATATATCATCAGATATGTACAGAAAAGTAAATCAGGTGTGTGTGGGCCGATGTGTAGTCGTCAAGATCTTCACGCAGAAGAAACCGCGAAAAATTTTCAATATGACCTGATAATATAAACCTTCTATGCACATATCACAAAAGAACAATTCAATTTTAATATTTTGGCACTGAGATTAAAGAGTTGTACATGCACGACATAGCTCTCCCCATATAAAAAAAGTGATGAAATTTTCAACACCATCTAATCATTGATTGCTTGATCTACGCATAAGCAGGAGAGGAGCAGGAGGAAAAAATGTACGACGATGTTGCCGACACCAATAGTATGTCAGTATGAGCAATGTCCCTATTATAAGTTTAAGTCAATAAAAATAAACTACGTTCATTTGTAAGTTGAAAATGTATTAATATGAGTGTGCTGGGCGTATGAGTAGCATGCTGGCGTATGAGTAAATTTATGCATAACCCATTCGCAATCTATAACAATGTAATTTCCACTTGAGTTCAATAAATTAATTTCAACATCACCACTACATTACACTTGCCATACATTAAACTAAAATTAAAGGTTTTGATATAAAATAAGAGGAAGAGAGTTAACGAATAGAGAGAGATGCAGAGAGAATATGGAAGAGAAAGCAACTATTACAAGAAGACAAGCAAGTATAGATGGTGCTGTATATGTATACGGTAGTGGTTTTAATATATATAATACATATATATATATAATAATAAACATAAAAAGCAATCAAGGAAGTAAAGGCCAGTATTTTTCTCTTATGCACAAAGTATGGAAATTTTTTCTGTGACACTGTTCACCATAAACTAAACTACGCTATCACGTTAACACGTACGTATATTCCCATATAAGTATATATGTATATATATGTACATATATATAGGTAGAGTGGGGGCTTTTTTATTCTACTTTCCCTTAGGCGTTGTGAAATAGAATTATTTTATAAATATTAAATCAGAGGTCGGCAGAATAATCCGCAAATTCATATATGTACGGGTACGTGTTCAAGTGTAAGGCATTGATATGCTTTGGCAGCTAAATAAACCAACAAAACCTATAATAATAGCAAAGGCTTTTAGCAGAAAAACGTACAAGTATCCAGCAACTAACCGCTCTTCGTACGTTAGTTAAGCAAATAATAAACTTTGGTCCATTCTTTCCTATGCACATTACTTGTCCATGAAATATTCACATAGAGCGGGTGTAATTGTGTACTATTTGCAAACCCATATATATGTTTTTCAGCAAATATATACACAATCAGAGTGTAGAGTTTAGTTTAAATATAACATTTGCGATTGTCTCTTAAGGATATTAAGTAATGGGACTCTATGGTATTGTAAGCAATGATTACTTTTGTGCAGATCAGACAGCGCAAGTACACATGTACTTATATACGTATGAATATGTATGTATTAGATATACATTGTGTGTATATACCTTGACACTTATACACACAGCATATACTAATAGTGTGCTTTACAAAAATCTGTCACTTTCATTGCTTTTCATTTTTATCTTAAGTGGATTTCTTTCTTTTCCATATACATCTATATATGTATATATATATATATAGATATGCAGAGAGATGTGGGTTTATGTGCACAAGTGCAATTTTATATTTCTTACATTTAAACTATTTGCACGTATGTATGTAAACAAATGTCAGACATATATTGTTAAAGATATTCATATATGCATACGTATTTGTTATGAAAGTGATTTAGTTTTTCCTTTCATTCTCTTTTATTTTACCCGGTTGCCACAGTTTGTCTTTTTATAGATTACAGATAAATAAACTATCCGTTGGCATGTTCGCTTTGCTTTAGCATCTGAGAAAAAAAAAAAAAAAAACATTGAATCCATACATTGGTGTATTCATATATTTTCATTAAATTATTTGAGACCGTATACTATTTATGTTATACATAGAAAATGCTTGAAAAAGACTTTTAGTTATGAAAATATTTATTTTTCACAATTTAAATTACTTAATCCATACTTTATATTTTTTAGCTTCGACTTTAACATATGCTTAACTTTATGCATACCTAAGTATTTTCATCAAGTTATATTTAATAAAATTTTTCCAAAATAATTTTTATAAAAATATTGTAAATATATTATGAGTTATTTAAAACACATAAAAAGTTAGCTTTGCTGGTTCATGAAAAATGTATATGAATAAAAAGCAGTCATAGTCGGCTTTAAGTCAATTGTTAATTAAAACAACTGAGAAGATTATACTCCCCATGGAATGTATGACGAGTTTTGGTCACCTTAAAAGTTGCAAATTACTGCAACACCATAATAAAGCGAAAGTTAATAAAATAATAATAGTTGAGAAACTTATTAAGCACTAATTTAACCCTTTGCACACGGGTTTCGGAGCGGAGGCATTTAAAATTTGTTTTTGAACTCGACGACGGCTTCACTATGGCGACACTGCAAAAACAAATTGTAATAACTTGAATTTTTTCTGTTACCAAATTAATTAAATCTATTTGTTTTAAAGTGCATATTAATTGCTTATATGTGGGTATGACTTTTCTCTGAAATTGCTTGGGGTTGCTGGTGATAAGAGTAAAAACGCGTCAGAAAATTGTACTCAATTGCGAGCGAAACCTTGAATGGAGAAAAATAAGAAAAAATTTGTTGTAATGAAAGAGCACTTCTGCCACGCATTTTAATATTTTAAACGCTTTCTTCTGGAACTACGAGCTTTCAAAACCGTTCAAAAAACAACTTCTATAATTTTCATTTTCGTATCCATCACCGAGTGATGAGGTGTATATTGGCTTTGACAAAACATTTGCAGTGCTCAGAAGGAAGAATCACAGACTCCAAAAAGTATATATATTCTTGATCAGTATCAAATTGTAAATCGATTTAAGCATGTCTCTCTGTCCGTCTAGTTAATATCCGTTGTGAACATTCTCCTGGCCGCAGAAATAAAGCTATCGACTTCAAATTTGGCACAAACGTTGGGAGTTCTTGCGCGCAGGCCGTCATTGAAAATGAGCCAAAACGGTCAAAGGGCATGCCCATAGGGTCATGTAAACTGAAAACACCCTACTTTGTCTTCTTCTTACAATAGATGATTTCTTGAGTTGATTAAAATATTATCAAGTATTTTTCTATTTTACATATGGTGGGGTAGTTTTAACAATGATTTATAGTTAATAAGATAAAGGGATAATTTTTATTTCGGATACAAGGCAGCTTTCTTTCCTGAGTGGTAACGCCAATCTGATGTTAATCAAAAGTACGAGTTGAAGTGAGCCAATCTTCGAATTTCGGATAGAATAAGAAATACTTTCCCTCTTTCCCTCTTTCCCTCTTTCTCACAATCTGTTAAAAGACGACTGAATTGTTCTGCTAAGGACTTTGACGTTTTCAAGCCATTTTATTGATTTTTGTAATAAAAAAAAAATTTGACAGCATAAAACCATTTGGTCCGTCCAAACGCAAATGCATCTTTAATTAGCTTTCACCCACGCAATAGTGAACTAAACAGACTATTCACACGATGATAGTTCCTGTTATGATTCTAAAGCAATCCTTTTCTTAAAAGCTTCTCCCTAAATTACAGGAAAAGCCGCAATAATATTGACGTTCAGCTATAATTCTCGGAGACCAAAAGACATTCAAGAAAGCAAAACCGCGATTATAAATGAGATTCTTTCGCGTATGAAATAGAAAAAATATGCCCCCTTTACGGTGATTAATGCTGTACAATCTCGTTTTGCTTTTACTGCGACCGCTATAACAAACGTGCATACATATAATTGTTTTACATAATTAACTTTCTCTAGTTTAGAGAGTGCCAAAAAACCATCCAACCACTAAAATGTAAAAAAAAGAGCAGCAGCTGTTTTAGTGCTCGTTTATGTTTTTTTAAATATCTTAGGAGTGCTTTAGAAGAGAGAACTTTTCCCCACTAACACTTCTCATCGCTATCCGAAAGCATTAACAAAATTTTGTTAAACACTTGGTCATAAAGCACTCTCTTCCTGTGACTTTATTACCATGTTATGCAAAAAAACATATAAAAAATTTCAAAATACCACATTAGTATGAGTTTTCCGTATTTTTGCCCTAATGCGGCATTTCTGTGGTCATTTAGAAGCTCATGGTTTAGTTTTATATCCGCCAGTGATAGATGGATTTACGTTAACTTTGGTGGTAGCCGAAAAAAAAAAAAAATTCACCAGAGATTCTGTTTGCCTGAAATTCTTATTCAATCACTTATGTACCGTTGTCTTGTCTGATATGGAAATCTTAGGCTTGGAAAACACGAGTAAGTAGTCTTCATGAATAAATTACAATTTTGACCAAAGGAAGAAATAATTTATTGTAATAGATTGGTATAAAAGTGCGATAATCAAGTAGGCCAAGTTACGCCCATTTTATATTTACAAGTAAGATTATCTTAATAGCTGTGAGGCGTTAGTAAACGCGGTAAAAATACTTTATTATCAATTACATAACGAGTTGTACTCCCTCTCGATTCATTATAGCGCCTAAAAAATGCGGATCAGAGAGCCAATAGAGGATTATCGATAAAAGTGCGGATATTTGTTTTTTAATTAGTTCTCCTACCTTATGACGTTACATATGAAAAGAATTCTACTGAAAATGTAGATTTTAGGTAGAGTTTATCAACGAGGCCGACCCTTCAATGGCGAAAGCGAGAAATGTTTGAAAATTTACTATAAGACATACCGTAAGGATACTTGGAAACTTAGCGGCTACAAAAAACTGTGTGGTTATTATATAGTAAAATGAATGAATGCATGAAGTTACTGCTAAAATATTTCCTACGTATGAGAAGCGCTTACTAAGTATTAAAATGGAAGCCATGTTTTATTTTTGCCTGTCTTGATGGGTATGAAGAGAAGGTCATTCGTTCTTCATAAAAGTAAGGTTCTTGCTTCAAACCTGATCATTCGTCCATTTATCATTTGTCGACTGTGGATTCACTAACAGATGCTACAATTGAGATCTAAAGTGAAGATCCAACAGGTTAACGCAATACCTACTGTCGATAAACTTTTTGAATTTTAATTTTATATATTAGCTCATTGAATAAGTTCGTACTGACCGTCACTACTGTAATGAATGAAAAAAACGGTGACTTTTTCTTTAAGCTTTGCGCAATCGCAGAAACTAATTCGGAAAGAGTACTGAATATAGATTACGGAAATTTTCGGCCTAGGTCTAGTTTTCCATTAAAAAGCTCCATTTATGGGAAGAATGATCTTTCGTGATGAGATATATGATGAACAGATGGATGCGTTACGAGGTCCAAAGCCTAAATTACGCTGACTCATGATAAGGCTGAATAGTCATGGCGCCCATACATAAGGAGGTTGGAGGGATGAAGTACGTTGCTTCATTCAAATGAAAACATGATAACTTTCGGTCTCATAAGGCAAAATTGTTGTTATTGAACTAGCGAACGCTAACTTGCACATTGTATTCATCAAATACTAAGTCCTCAGATTAACATTAATTTCAATCGGTGGCTAATAGTTCACTTTCATGAGGATAACCGAAAAATGGATGCCCTTGTAGATAGCCTTAAAAGACCAATTGTGCTTTAAGCATGGAATTCGTATTCTATCTAAGAGATAGAAGAACCAATAGCTTGAATGAAATATCGTTTGCCATTTTTTTTTTATAATATATATTTGCTTAATAATATATACATATATATATTTGCGTCGAAAAATGTGCTGAGAACATTCGACCTGTGGCGTATATATAAATATCTTACATTTTCTATTCTAAAAACCATTTATTTCTATTACGGTTAGTAAACGTTTAGATGTCAAATCTACATTTAATCATTAAATCAGTTTTTTATTTACATTTTAATGCACAACCTCTGAACTGTAAGTCAACAAACACATAACGATAATGTAAAGACTAAGAAACGGTGAATGTCAAACCAATACGTTGGATGCAGCATTGCTAGAAAACCAACTTTTTAATGGGAACGTATACTCGGAAAAGTAAATACTATAGCACTTGAAACATATAAGTGCACTTACATATATGGATAGTATTAGATGCCCTACATAAAAGAGAGAGCATATGGTGCTTGCGAAACTATATACTGAGAAAATGTATACATAGCGGAACGAAATATGCACAAATACTATTTCATAAACATAGTAAAAAAGGAAAAGGAAAAAATATTCTACATATTACTGAAAACAACACACAATACTTATACGCAAGTGTTCATCTAGGACTTTTGTAAATATAAATCTTTGCTATTCGCATATATAAATAATACTTACGGTATGCGTGTGCTTGCAGCATAGTATGCATGTGTAAGGTTCTGTAACTACAATATATTGATGGGTAAACAGAAAATTCAGATAGTTTCTACGGAATACTGTTTTAAGAATTTTACACATATGTAGCTATGTATGGTTTTACAGTAAATACAAAAATTGTTTACATATGCATGCGAAAGTTATGCCGTTGCTTTAGTACATCAGTACAGTATACATATGAAGTGGCGCCGTTATAAACATTAAACCTCGCCATGATTACTGTAAACATTTCCAACTGTTCGCATTCATTTTAAATGTACATACGGAGACAAAGTGACATGTTTATCATGCCAAGCACTTGACTTCAACTGTGTGTTTGAATATTTAGAAAGCAAAACAAAAAGTTTTTGCTTTTTGCACATTCTACACGCCACTGACAAAGGGATGAATATTTGAAAGTATAAAAATGCTTTAAATGAAGTTAGTTTGCAAATGATTATTATTGTAAAACATCACAACAACCTTTACTTCACGCTTATCGAACAAGAAAGAAGCAAAAAATTTTCAAAAAAAAATAAAGCAATTTTTCAAGAAAATAGTACAGCGTCCAGATTCTAATCTCAGAGCAAACCAATACAATGAGAACTCACAGACAAGATAACATGATTAAGCATTCCGCAAATAAAAACAAAGTCAATGAAGCAAAAAGCGGAACAAGAAATTACTTCAAAATTTTTACGTCGACATCTCTCATAAAGGATAACACAATGCTTAATAAAAAAAAAAAACCGCTCCTCACCTCGGTTCCACACTACAAGTTTCACGCTCATACGTAATACCTCTCCAATTAAGTACATACACTTTAGACACTTTAAGTTATTCTTGACACAGTCATGAAAATGCAAATCTCACTCGACTTCAGACTCTTCTTGGTTTCGACTAAGATATAAATAAACTACTTGGCAAGGCTAACCACTTGATACAGCATGCTTAGAAAGTCTATTAACTACTCGGACATGTTATTCCAAGATATTGGTAAACTTCAACGTGACCTACGTAAAACAAAAAAAACTTCAGTGAACCGTCCAAACTTTAAACATATTTAGAGGAAGCCCTTAAACTATCCGTGGAATCGGGTACAAATTCGTTCTTTCCAACAAAGAGAATGAATTTGACATCAATTCAATGAACTTGTAGTTCAGGCCAAAATCCGGTCATATAAGTGCACTTCCAACGAGTTGGCTATAAAATATTGAGGTAAACTCACAAGTACAATTGAGAGACCCGTTTTTTTAAATTCCTTCATATACTTCCTGCTACAAAACATTTTCTCCTCACTTAGCACTTTGCGTTCTGAATCCTTTTTAGTTAAATATTTCCACACCGTGCGCTTCAAAAAGCTTCCGTCGACATCAAAAAGATCATTTTTATAACGGGTTAGTAGGGTCCAGAGAAGCTGATAAAACAGCTAGCAACGAAATATTGTTCCTACCATAAATCACAGAAGGCATCCATTCCATTTTAAACTTTTTAAGGTAAGGGGTTATCTCGCATGAACCCAAAGGTTTCTTAACAACAATACAAAATCTTTTAAAGAAAATCCTGTCTATTTACAAAATATGTCTGGATATTTTCATCATTCATAATCGAAGGGGCTCAGCTTACGATAGGAACGATATTCACGTTTGGGTTTCATATTCACTGTGACAGTCGCGTGAAACAAAATTTTTTACTCAAGGAAAACAAACTCGTCAAACTTTTTTAAATACGATTTGAAAAAGTAGTTGATCTTCGAAAGATGCCACTGCTTGATGTGGTAAATATGATAAAATGTTGTCTACAATCGATTTGTCTTCAGCAAGCAATTAACGTTCTCGTTATCGACAATCGACGAACTTAACCAAGCGTAAGGGGATGATTCCGCCTTTCATAAAAATGAAGCGAAGTGAAAAGTGAAGTTAATTTATTGCCCAATGCGGACCTGCAATAGGCAAACAAAGGTAAGGAATGCTAATCCGTTCCTTTTGATCCGCCGCACAACTAAGATCATGCTAATGAGGCTGCTGCGTTGGACTTTGCCTTGCGTGAAAAATCGAATGACTAATCACGTTCGACTTATGTCAAAAACTGTTCAAGAAGAATAAAATCCAATCACCGATATTAAATTGAGAGACCCTGCAACAACCAATTGTCGTAATTGTTGGCTTAACTGTCAGGCGTACATTAACGTGCTAGTTGGCATATTAAATAGTGTATACACTTTTAAGAGTTAATAAGATGGCAATAAACAAAAAGATGGCAAATACATCTGCATAAATTTAATTAAAGAAGACAACATGAAAGGAAAATTCATGAAAATTTATGCGCGTCATCAGATGGGATATGTTTGCTTATATGCGGTGTAACTTTTGTTTGCAAATATTTTTCAATGTACATATATACTTAAAGTGATTGCATGTGCATTTACTTGGTAAATATAGAATAGTGTGCGTAATTTGTGTTGTACTTATGTGTAGGTAAACTTACCTCAATGTCACCGCTATCTGGATGACGCATTACAAATGCTGACGGCACAACACCAGGAATTTCCTGTTGCGGTATGAACAGCAATGAATGATGGAAAATTGCATTCAATAGTAGACTCATAACCACAACTGGTTTGTATTTGCCAAACTTGTCGACAAGAAAGCCTGTAAAACAACATATTCGTATAGGCATAAACGCATATAGATATATATAAGTATATATATATATATATATATATATACATATATAAATATATATTTGTATATGTGTACGAATGCATATATATATATATATATATAAGCAATAAACATTTGACTATAGAATACACAATAACTGTAATTATGTTTACATAGAAATCTCATCTCTCAGCGTCTATCAGATCTACTCATCACTCACATCAGCACAGAATGTACGTAAATTTATGAATGTATGTTAGGGAAATAGACATATATATCTATTTGTAAACGATTACACCTATGCATACGTATGTACTTGAGCTCTCACACATATATATACATATATATATATATATATATTTGTGTATGTGTTGTAAACGTACACATGTGGTGAAGAGTATTAATTTGATGATTTTAATGCTAATTTCGATAAAAGTTACACACTTGCACGTATAAGAGAATCTCTAATTTGTCTGAAATGCATATGCATAACAACAACAATCATTTAAATAGATTACAGAATTTCTTGGTTGTATTTAATTTAAGGTGAATACTAAAGAATAAAAATAGAGCGCACTATATATTATGTAATGAAAACGAAACAAGTAAATTACAAACATACATAGTACATAGTGATTACATCTGCATTAAATTAAATTATTGAACTATAATTAGAACGTTTTAAGCATATATTTTGAATTTTAATATCTAATAAATAATTACTTAAGTTGGCTTTATTTTAATGTAATGTAATTGGTATTTTCACCAAAACCTGAACAATAATGACTACAAGTCTTCCCAAGGAATTTAGTTTGTGCAGAAGAAGCTTGAACTTGAAATATAACAGATGACTTTCATTAGTCACTTTACAAGCGTTTGTAACCACGAAAAGGAAAATTGGGAAGAGTACATATACATATATACATATGTACGGGTTTCTGTCTGTTAAAGGTTCCATATTTACTAGGCTGCATAATATATTCATAACACTCGCTGAAAGATAAATGCTTAGTAACTATATACATTCTCCTCCAATATTCAGATACAGAAAATCTACATATTTTCAATCACCGTATATCATGTCCGTCCGTCACAATCATGTCTTACCAAAGGTATATACGTGGTGGACAAATAATAAATTTGCTTTTTAAAATGTCATACCGCTCAGTTCTGTTCCGTACATTTGGCCTAATGGCCATGGACATATATACACTTGCAATGTATTGAAATTGGTAAAATTTATTACAATAAATAATTGATCTATTCGGCCTATATTTTTTGCTCTCCGTGAAGCGCAATCCATATTTAGACAAATTGCCTGGGGAGACCAAAGAAACCTCCAGTTGTTCGTTCACGTGCACATATATTAACTTTCGGGTGTGGTTTGTGAACTGAAAATGTACTTTCTGGAAAAAAAAAATGGAAAAATGGCATTTCAGTCACTGTAGCTATAAAAACATGAACGCTGATTGTTTCCGACACGAATTGAGGGATTTCGACTTGAACGATATATGGTTTCAAACAATGTGACGCAATATGCCGTACATCTCCTGGGACAGCTAATTTATTGACAAAAATGATCTGATTTGATTCTCAAGGTCGTCCAATATACCTCTATTAGGCTTTTTTCTTTGTATTTGGTTATGCTAACTCATTGTTTTTTCTCTCCGATCAACCACTATATCGCAATGACTTTATTTTCTAATATTACTCGTTTTATTGATGAAATAAAAGCAAATTATGTGAAGAAATATTGGTACTTAGGCTTAAGGAGTATCTAAGCTAAACGGTTTTTAAGTCGGTCCTGGGTTTCTTTATTCTTTTTCTATATCTCACGCTGAAATTTTTAAAGTTGGACGATATAAAACATTAAAAACTTTGCTACAGCTTTAGGAAGAGATAATGCCAAGCATCCCCGTTCGCGTTGTCTACGATACAAACGAAGTTACATAGCAGGCTTCAGCAGCTCGACTAAAACTTGGCGTAATTAGTTAGCCGAACTTTGTAGTAGTTATACAAGTTATGTCGATACGGTAGGTATAGAAGTTATAATGGTTGTGCTAGGGAGACTTACGATTGTCAAGTCGTTGGTCGCGGATTTGAATCTCATTGCGTTAAATTACATTTACAAGTAAATGTTTATTTAATAATTACTTAAGCTTATCTTTGCTCTCAACACTCTAAGCCTAAAATATTGTGCACTGTTTTCTTTATCTTCGCTCCTTGCTTGTGATTCATATTCTTTGCTATATTGTCATAGGTTAAGCATTAGACATAAGTTAGCTTATTAGTACTTTAAGCCTACAAAAATATTCTTGAACTTTGTTATGCTCTTGATCGATGATCTTTTCGATAATTGCTTAATTTAAGCATTTAACCTTGACTATGTACGGCTGGAAGTATATTGTAGCTAGTAATGAATAATAATAACAACAAATGGTTTTACTTGATTTCAAAAGTTTGAATTTAAACCTCAATTAAAATCAAACACAATCACACATCTGCTTAGAGATCGAGATCTTAAAATATCTATAAATTGCAGAGATCTGATGTTTGAAGATGAAGAAAGGAAAGAGGAAGACCGTAGCCAACATAGTTCTAGATGTCAAGCTGTTAAGAGACTGTCGCTCTCACAATGAATCTAAGCAGTTATCGTATCTTCACTTCGATGACAGGCATAGCTTCACTACTTATTAAAGCTTTAAACTTAATGCTATTTAAAACTAATATAACCGTTAGTCTTAATAATATTTTTTATTAATTTTTTATATAAAAATCATTAAATGCCTTCCTAAATTCATTAAATTAAAATTAATTATGTACTTACCAGTAATGGGTGGACTTAAAAACGTTGTGAATGGTAACGCCAAATAAATAATAGCAATTTCCTCAACTGTCAAGCCAATCGATTGCATGTGTATAGTCAGATATGGTAATAGAGATGAGGTAGCTGTAATTATATATATATATATATATATATATGTATATATATGTTGACTAATATAATAATGGAAAATATTCATAACAAGTAACAGATTAATGTTAAATAAATATTTATGTGTTCTTATCGCTGCAGTTATCATAAGGGTATTCATTGATAAAGGAGAACTTGGTTTCATTCTCATTTGCAAATCAAGAAAAAAGTCCATTTGCGTTGTATGTGACCCTTGAGAAGAATTCCTAAGGAAAAAGATTAATTTGGGCTTTGAGAGAGCAACAACAGGTATTACCGGAGACACCTAAATAAAAAGATGTCTCAACATTTTCGTTCAAAATACAAACTAGTAACAGGCTGAAGGAATGTCGAATTGTCTGTTATCAGCAACAGCAATGCCGTTGTAAGTTAGCAGTCATTTTTGACTGTATAGATAAGAATCCTGTTGAACTGTCACAATATATCAAAAGTTTACAAAGCAAAAGCAATGAAATTTTTGGCAAACAGATTTTAGAGCTCAATAAGATTAAATTCATCAATGACTCTTATAAAAGCAAACAATCATTGAAAAAATCACAAAAAAAAAAAAAACATAATACATAAACATGCTTTTGACCTATATACGATGGATAAAAATTTGGGACAAGTAACGTCCAGGTTATGGTAAATTTCTTTATGTCAAGTCAATCGTGTTAAAGCGAGAGATAAAAACATGCGTCTAATAATTGATCGGACAATTATAGAAGTTGGATTACCAAATTCCGCTCCGGAAAGGACGAACCCCCACTGAACGTCCCTCCGCCCTTGACGACAGCTTTCTAAAGCCATTATTACAACAAAATTCCCGTCAATTATTAACATACACATATATATATATATATAGATATATAGAGTAAGATTGAATAAATCGTAATCAACTATTTGCCATCATTTGAAGAAATTAGAGAAGGCCACCAAATTGAAAAGGAAAAACAAAAGTCCTTTTTGACTAGACCTAACAGTATACTATTTGTCAGACTATTGTGGCTAACTTTCTGCTGACTCGATTGATTTCGACCTGAACTGGAAGACATCTTCAAGTTAAATTTAAGTATCAATTAGAATATAACTAAATTTCGTGAAATAGATTTGTTTTTGTTTGAAAGTTAAATTCATTTAATTTAACTATAATAAGTAGCTCAGGTTAAAGTTATATTTACGCCTAGAGAATAAAGTGTCGCGAGCAAAAAAAGCGTAAATTCAACTGCAAACTAAACGGAATAAATATTTAGGTAAATATGCACATTGACTTGCCTTAGACCCAAGTAGTTTTGGTTTCATACAAGAAACACAAACTATGTCAGTTAAGTACTTTTTGTAAAAAGTTGCACTATTCTTCATTACAACTTGGCGAGTTCCTGAATCTATTAGGAACTTTTGAGTTCTTTGTATTAACGTGATATTATCGCTCCTTCCTCTTAACACATCCGCTGTTGATGCGTTTTATGTATATAAACATTTTTTTTTCTTTATTATATATATATAATACAACAATATTTCAGAAGGGAAAAAAAGTGTAAACCATTTAGTGCAAATATTAAAGCATTTGGATCGTGGTCTACTAGAAGAGGGCGCCTTGCTAAGTCTGCTGGAATTGTTTCTTCATTTATTTCTTTAGCGCTGATTTATATGTGTCACAACGCGATGAGATGAATTTTACAATTCATATTCATATTTTCAGTGAAAATATATCGATATTTTTACATCCTTAGTTCGAAAATATGGTTTACGTTTCATAAAAAAACTCTTACAACATACAAACGAAGTGCAATAACTTAACTTATCTGCGGTACATCCGAAAAGTATCTAACCAAAATTGGCGTGGTATTATCACGCCCAATGATTGCAATTGTCCGTTGTTGTGAGAAGTAAAGTTCGACCTTTGATCCCTAAGTGGCATTGGGCTATATTGAATTAACCTTTGCAATGTGAGGGAATGGGAAAACTTAGCTTGCGCTGCTAATCATTACAGATTTCATAATATTTTCAGGAAGAAAGACATCAAAATGCAAAACCATATTTTCGAACATATAAAACAGAAAGCTGTTCCTTACATATCCTTTTGAAATTCCATGTTGCAATTTTGATATTGCGATCTTTACACTACATATTTTTCCGCCAGTGGTAACAATGTCTACCTAAAAACCCAGTCATGAGCAGTAAAGTCTAGCTCTCTGCTACGCAGAAAACATCCCTTTGGCGATCGATTGTGTTTTAATTCAGCCCTTTCCATGAGCTCCATTGAAATGTATTTATCTGAACATTTTACCTATGATATATCGTAATTTACATATATATTCTCCGATCGGCAATAAAATTTCGTGAGCGAAAATGTACTTTTGCGGAGTATTCTAATATGTTTTAATTTTATTTTCCATCAAATTGCATTTAATTGGAATTCTCCTATATCCAGTAAGTTTTGTTATGAATCCCTTTATAATTTCTTCTTTTTTTTTTTTGTTTTAATAACTTACCACCTGGGTGCAAACAACCCATTGCAGTCAGGTCATATTATTGCTTACTTTTAATGTGACCTTAATTAACGTGTATAGAGTTAACATTAATATACAATAAGCGTGCCGGAGCTTAAAGAAATTTATTACGTACACACTACATGAAGGATTTGTAGTCAAAGTTACGCAGAGAGCGTATGCATATAAAATGTTTCATAAATAATTCACTTAAATGCGTACCCACTGCATATATATATTTATATATGTGTAGTTTTAAATAAATACAGAATAATTTCCCGCTATCACGTAGGTGCGAGCATTTAAGCAAATATCCAACTTGAGCGCTTCACTTTTAACGCTTTTTACTTTGGTTCTTTACATCTCTTGTACATTCGCTTCACTTCACTTGGCTTTCCTTCCGCTTTCTCTGTCTCCCCACCACTCTTAATGGTATAATTCTCTTGTCACAAATATACAACTCTCATCCTTCATGGTATCATTCACTTGCAGACATACGCCGTAGACGAAGTAAGCAAAAATATATTTTACACCTTTGAGGTAAATTATAATAAAACATAAATTCCTTCTTTTCTTCGTAATCTACGTACTATTCACGTTTCAAAAGGGGGAAAAAGAAGCAAAACAAATTTTTTAACAAAAAGTATTCTTTTTTAGAAGAATAGAAGAAAGCTTAGACGTTCTCACACTGGAAGATATTCAACTTTTCACTTCTCAAATGCGAAATGGATTTCTATGCAAATAAAACAAATCCAAGGGAATATGCTGTGGAAATGCATATGAAATCTCGTTTGTAACAGATTTGTATAAAATTTGGTACAAAACTGTTTTTACCCTTAAGGACTCGATTGTGTTTAGCAAAAATAAGTTTTAGAATATTTGTTGAAACAATAAGGAAAATTTTAAATTATTTTTCTTTATATATATGCATGTTTACATTATATATAGTTTGATGACAATCACAGATATATATGTGATTTAATAAATGAATTTATATGTAAAAGGATATCACAGTATTTTTATACGTACTATACGTCCTGATAAGCATGTATGTACACTTGTTGTTTATTTATAGATAAAAGACATTATTATAGCATATGAGAGCAATCCATAAAATTATATGAGAGCGTCATTAAACCTTTTATTCTTCTTTTATTCTTTATAGAAATTACTTATTATACCCAAGAATGAGGGGCATTATCACTTTGTCAAAACATTTGCAACGCCCACAGGGAAGCTTCAGAGTCGACACAGATGGTTAGATAGATTCTTGACCAGCATCAAATTGCGAATCGATTTAAGCATCGGTCCATCGGTCCGTTTGTGTAATTTCCTTTGTAAGCATTCTCGTGTCCGCAAAAGGGAGGCGACCATCTTTAAATTTTTTCAAAAACATGGGAAGATCTTGCACGCATGTTGGTATTCAAAATGGGGCAAGAACAAGTCTACAATACCGCGTAAACATGGAACATCTCCGTTTCTCAGAAGGAATAAAAAATTGTTTCTTTGCTCATTACTACAGCAGATAGAACGACAAAAATTTGGACGTATATACTACTAGTATGATGCCATTGGAAAATTGATTTCGCTTATCTAATATTGCAGTGTAATTAAAATATAAATTTTTTTATAATATCTTTACAACGCGCAAATACGAGTTTTAAATACTCCCGTGAAGTACATAAATTCTTGGACATTTTAAAATTTCGAATTCACTTAAGAATGTCCATCTGTTCGCTTATCCATCCGTCCGTCTGCGCAACTGTGTAGTATATATGCGGTAAGCATTCTCTTGCTCGCAAAAATGAAGATATCGCCTACAAATTTGCAAAAGATTTTAAAAATGGCCCAAACCTGTCAAAGGACCGAGCAGTTCAACACCTTTGCTATCTGTCTTTCTTGCTTGTCACTCGAAAAACGCAACACATACATCATATATTATTACGTAGTGTGAATAATTAGTTCTTTTGCTAACGATCGAAGGTATGAAAAATTCGGTCCCGACCGAATATAATTTTCTTACTTTTTTCATTTTCGTTTAATTGTAAACTGCTTATCGGACAATATGGCAATTAATTTGCGAATGCGTTTGTGTAATGATTGTACTCTACACCACACAGGGCCACAGGGTGTATTAAGTCTGTTTGAATTCTATGCAACATACAAAAGTACTTATGTTATTTACTTTTTCAGAGTAATTGTTGGGATCGATTTAAGCTTGTCCATCTGTTTGTTCTTTTGATCTTTTGACGTCTAGCCGTTTAATTTTATGTTCAGGCTAGAGTTCTCAGTTTAGTAGACTGCCATAGTTTAGATCAAGAATGAAATCAAAAGAATCAGAGTAACGCTACGACCGTTCTTCACATGATATTCTATTTTGCAAAGGACGTCATATAAGAGAAATTTTCACTTTTCAAAATTTCTTAACAAAAATCACTGAATAATAGCATTATGATGTGAAAAACGTGGATCGAATAGGCCAATTTTTTGAATTCCCTCTCATAT